CGCACACAGACACCGCACACAAACACCGCACACAAACATCGCACACAGACACCGCACACAAACACCGCACACAGACACCGCACACAAACACCGCACACAGATCCCGCACAGACTCCGGGAGCGTTCCCGGATCGGCCCCGCGCGGTCTCTGTGTGCGGTGTCTGTGCGGTGTCTGTGCGGTGTTTGTGTGCGGTGTTTGTGTGTGTGCGGTGTTTGTGTGCGGGATCTGTGTGCGGTGTTTGTGTGTGTGCGGTCTCTGTGTGCGGTGTTTGTGTGCGGTGTCGGTGCGGTGTTTCTGTGCGGTCTCTGTGTGCGGTGTCTGTGTGCGGTGTTTGTGTGCGGTGTTTCTGTCCGGTGTTTGTGTGCGGTGTTTGTGTGCGGTGTCTGTGTACGGTGTCTGTGTACGGTGTTTGTGTGCGGTGTTTCTGTCCGGTGTTTTGGTGCGGTCTCTGTGTGCGGAGCGATGGCTCCGGGGCGGCTCCTCCCTCGCCGCTCCCTGCCCACCCCGCACGTCGTTCGTTCCCCGCCAGCCCCTTCCTCCCGCTCCCCAGAGCTTTTTCCTCTCCCCCCGTCTCCTCCCTCCCCGACCCTGTGCTAAGGTAACTCCCAGGAAATATGCAGACCTGTTAATTTTTACCTTCTTTGGCTTTTTTCCTCCTGGCCAGCGTGCCGCCGAGCTTGCCCAGGAAGGAGTCATCCTTCTTTCTGGAGGGGGGAGATTTCGGGGTGGGCGATTTGGGGGAAGAAGGGGATTTCTGCGGGGAGGTTGCCATGCTGGGCCGGGCGCCGCCGGCGCCGAGGGACGGAGCAGACGGGTCCGAGGCCCCGGTGCCGTGGGAGGCTGTTCCCGGCTCTGAACGGAAGCGGAATTATTTCAAGCATTTGAGGCAGCTCCTGCTCGGCTCTCCCGGCTCTCCCGCTCCTTCCCTCCCTCCTCCCGCCCGCCCTCCCGCCGGGGAGGGCCCGTTCCGCTGGCGGCTCCGGGAGCCCGCGGCGCTGTCAGGGCCGGGCTCTGAGGGTGAGGGCCGGGCTGTGAGGGTGAGAGCCGGGCTGTGAGGGTGAGAGCCGGGCTGTGAGGGTGAGAGCCGGGCTSTGAGGGTGAGAGCCGGGCTSTGAGGGTGAGAGCCGGGCTGTGAGGGTGAGAGCCGGGCTGTGAGGGTGAGAGCCGGGCTGTGAGGGTGAGAGCCGGGCTCTGAGGGTGAGAGCCGGGCTGTGAGGGTGAGAGCCGGGCTCTGAGGGTGAGAGCCGGGCTGTGAGGGTGAGGGCAGCGCTGTGGGGGTGAGGGCAGCGCTGTCAGGGCCGGGCTGTAAATGTGAGGGTCGCGCTGTAAATGTGAGGGCAGCGCTGCCCTCCCCTCGGGGCACCCCCGAATTGTTGGGGCCCGGGGTACCCGCGGGCACGGGACGGCGCCTCGGCCCCTGCTCCATCCTCCCTCATTGCCCGGGCTGGGTGGGAGTGCCCCAGGGTAGGTGGGCACGGAGGAGGGTGCTGACAGGTAACGGGGGTGCTGAAGGTTAAAGGTTGGTGTGGACTGAATGTCAGGGCTCACAAAGCTCGGTTCATCCACAGCCGCTCCTAAGTGAAGTCCCTGAAGGATCGCAGAGTCACAAGCTGCCATCACAGCAGATGTTTCTACATCCTGTGCTCAGCACCGACAGAAAAACAGAATCATGGGCAGGGTTGAAAGGGATCTTAAAGATYGTCTGGTTTCCAACACACTGCCATGGGCAGGGACACCTGCAAGTAAGATTTAGTTGTTCAAAGCCCCATGCAGCCTGGCCTAGAGCACTTGCAGGGATGGAGCATCCAGAGCTTCTCTGGAGAGCATGTTCCAGGGCCTCACCACCCTCCCAATAAAGAATACTTCCTATTATCTAGGCTAAACCTGCATTTCTTCAGCTTAAGGCCATTCTCCCGTATTCTCTTACTACCTGCCCTTGCAAAAAGTCCCGCTCCACCTCCCTTGTAACCCCTCTTTTAGGAACTGGAAGGCTGCTGGAAGGTCTCCCTGGAGCATTCTCCAGGTTGAACAACTCCAGCCTGTTCAGCCGTTCTTCACAGGAGAGATGCTACATCCCCTGAGCCTTGGCCTAATCTGGATGTGCTCCTGTAAGTTCACGCTTCTCTCGTGTTCAGGGTCCCAAATGTGGACAGACAAAAGAACTCATAAAGTGTCACTAAATAGCTTACTGCAAGTTAAAGKTCAAGCTCACTGCATACATTTTGGTCTTGACAACATTTTGCAAAGATCTTCTGCCTGCAGGTTTCAGGTGCAYCTGTGGCAAGAAGCAGTGGGCATCAACATATCCACTTCTACATAAGAAAACAATTGTCGTAGTCAGACCAGTATAAAAAGCCAGTATAAAAAGGAAGGAAAGGTGATTTAACACAATAGATTGCCTATACCAACCCTGCTTTGATTTGCAGATGAGCAGCTTAAGGGAGAAGTATGTTTGAAACATAATTTGCTGTGACTGGTTCAGGAGGCATCCAAGATTGGAACGGCATTAATGTCATCTGGATGCACTACTTTCACTTACCACTTAATCACTTGATTAACAATTCAGGCAAAAAGCCACACACACTTCATGCAAATATCTAGCTATCCATTAGGCATAATAAGTGAAATGAAATTACCATGAGGATATTTCTAAATCAGCTAATAATTGTGTTTTTACAAGCCAGTAACATTGGTTAGCTGATGAGGGGTAGACATCAATGCCTATTTGTTGCATGCAGTTAGTATATGTGCCCTGGGGAAAAACTTGATTCATGCATCCTGCCATCAGTTATAAACAGGAATAAGCCCGAGCCTTAGCACAATCCTTTCCTTACGTTTGCTCTCTGGTTTGTTGCACCAGTTATGTCACAGCCCCTTGTTTACAAATTTCAGACTGAAGTTCACATGAAATTCACTCTTTTTACAGAAGGGCTGTTTATACAGTGTATGGATTAGGAGATTAGGCATTTTGAATAATTTTTAAGAACATTCTCTTTGAAAAGGAGAAATACACTCACCAAGCCCCTTTTTTTAATAAGCCTGTAAATCTGTGGCATTTRCAAACAGAGCAGTGACCCAACTAAACCTCTGTTTGGAGCCAAATGACTGTGCATGGATGTCAATACAGGATTTTCTGGGCACAGCAGAAGAGAGGGTATTTTGGATGCACAAGTGTGCTTGCCTTTGTACCCCGATGTTTCTGGGAAAGACAGAAGGAACAAGCCAGGTCCTTCACAAAGAGTAAAAGTACTGGGCTGGGTAGTCACAATTCAACATGCATTGGCCACGTCCCTCACAAAATAGTTGAAAAGACCCAGAATCCTTCCTATTTCACAACACTCAATATATGTAAAATAATGATAAATACAGTATTACTTATTTAACAGCCTCATGAACTATGGTAGTTTCACAAAGGGGAAAAATAAATTAAACAGTGTATTTAAGATGAACTTTATCAGATCTGGAGACTCAAGTACTGTGTGCTTTAAGTAATGATGCTGAAGCAACARCCAGACTTAAGTTTACAATTTTGATTTTGGGTTTTTAAATGGATTTTTTTTTCAGGATTTATGTACAGTTCATTGTGTATAATGTTACTGCGGTGTTTTTCCAATTGTGATGTTTCTCTTTGAGGATAGTTACAACATTTTTCCCCGTATCGTAAATTTAAAATTACATATGCTACCTTTTTTCTCTCTATCTAGGAATATATATGAACATATGGCCTTAAATTAATACTGCATCATTACAAAAGGTTTTATAGATGCACACAAGGTCTGCATATGGCAGGTACAGGGATGGGGTGTGTTCTGTTTTATATTTGACAGTGGAATACTTGTAGGCTGATGCTCCAGGATCCCAGCTGGGATCCAGATACCTCTGGATCTTTCCTCATTGCACATTATTACTCTATATGTAGGTGTCAATGGAGAGAAATTTCTATGGAAATTATTCTGCGACTTCAAAGAGTGAGACAAAATTTTATTTTTTCAAATAGAAAATATCGTACAACCAGCCCACTTAGACACACACAGTACATTCCAACACATCACATGATACCTGAAACAACAGTGCCATGAACTTGAAAATGAACAAATCTATTATAAATTAGTGAGTCACGTTACAGAAAAGATTGAGCAGCAAGAAAACTCATCACCAAACCAGTGTTTAAATACATTTTAATACAAGCCAACCATATTAAATTGACCTGTGAACAGTGCACATAGCTTCTCTTTTCTTTTTACCCCTTTCTCTACTCTCCCAATACACTAAGACCTGCTTTAAATGACTTAAGAGTTTATGATTTTCTAAATCACTTCCACAGTTTATTTTTGGATCTAATCTTCTGAGGTACTTCTTATCAGGCAAGGTAACAGTAGCCTGACAGGTTTTTCCACCCAAGAGCAGACAGTTTTGGGTGGAGCATGTGTAACAACCACAGGGCATCCAGAAAACTATTTCCTTTGGAAAACTATTTCCAAAGAATATTTTTGAAGTTCACAAAGTTCTGAAGGCCTTCAGCTTCTGCGGACTGATACTCTCAAGGATGGAAATCTCTGGATCTAAAGGGAAAGCACCTTTAGTGTTTGGTTTTATAGCTGAACAGGTATCTGCTGTCAGCTGAAATCTCAGGGCTTATTGGAACAGCAACGCTCAGGTGAACAGGCTTTTGAATTGTAAAAATGTCATCTGAAGATCAGGAATGCTCAGCCTATGAATGATGGGAAAAAAAATCTGGTGGTTGTTTTTGAAATACATTTAAGGATTCTGCCATATCTGTCCAGTGTGATTAAAGACAATTTATATGTTAAAGCTCTGAATGYTTTATTTTAAGGGTATCCCTTCAAGTTACAGTCACTGAGAACATTAAAATCTTAGTCCATATTTTATTGCCTATTATTTACCAAATCTTATAAAGCTGTCTACTCTGCAATGCACAGTTTTGCTGTACACAGCTGTTAGAAATTCACATTTTTAAATTAATATCAGAAACAACATCCAAACTGTAACCAGACACTTTTACCCTCTTTAAACAGTGCAATAAATAAATACCAATAAATATTGCAGAGCAACAGTATAAAGCTTGCACCAACAGAGGTATTTTATCTGCAGCCAAGAGCAAAAACTTGCTTTTACCTTTGGAAAGGGTATTTCTTGCAATACAGAAAAAAAAATGCAACCCCTGAAGATTGATAAATAATTCATAAATTATTGTGACAGGATCCAGTGTGTCTGTTACTTTACAAGTATTCACCAGTACTCATCAAGAGGTTTTTTCAGTTTAAAGCTTTTTAAACAGGAATGCTTTTATCTTTGGCTGTACCATAGGCAGATGCTGCAAATTAGCACCATTTATGAAATAATGAGAACATCAAATCTTCTCAGAGCATGAGGTAAAATGATATTCAAAAAGAAAGTTTCCCCTTTTTTCCAGTTTGAAAATCTAGTGCATCACACATACAGTTGGGAATATYACCAATCTTAAATTGCAGAATTATCTCATATTTAAGAAGTGACTTAAATTAGGAGAATTTCTGCATGCTGTTTTGCCAGTATCTACAAATGCATGTACAARAAAGATAGAAGATAATCCCTTTAAGCAAAAAAAAATATGCACATCTTCTCAAGCAGCAAGATAAATGTAATTCAAATAGACCCACAACACTTTCTGCCAAATGTTGATATTAAAAACTCAACATTCTTTGCAGTGCTTTTAAGGAATTGTTCTCAGGRAGGTCTTAAACTACTACTCCATGCATCACACCCAACAATACAACTTGTGACATACTTTATGAAGAAATTGTGAAGTCCACCATAGTAAAGTGTGCTCTATACACATCAGTTGGGTCTGAATTGCTATTTTTAAATTATTTTTTACTTTAAAGACCTTAACCTCTGATATACAAAAACTTTATGAGCATGAAACAGCTGTAAGGATAGTCACCCCTTGATAATCCCTTAGTATTTTACAAAATACAGGGATTTAACATTGCTTTAACTTCTTGTTCAAAAATACACAGTGCAGTAAAACTTAAAATACATGGAAAATTCATTGCTGACATTGCATTTACAGTAGTTTGAGTRAGTTCTTATATGTAGTCATTAGTCAAATGACTCTTCCGCCACCCCAAATAAAAACTAACCCTRTTTTTATGAGATGCTTCTTTTCTGACTTCTCTATAGTTGACCATGGCTTGGCTGTGCCAAAATATTAACAAAGCCACAAAGACATTCAGACAAACAGATGGAAAGTAAGGCTGTGTCAGAAATACTAAATGATGTCATCATGTTCCTCAGAAACTCTGCTCTCAGCATTAAAATAAAATTCCAAGAGAATAATGGAGCTCTGATTTCCCTTTCACAGACCCTGGTGCCCATCAGACAGGCAAATTCAGTCCAAATCTGTGTTCCACTGCTCCTTTGGGCTGACAATAAAATTACTGTCTCTGGTACAGTTCTTTTCAAGCAGAAGAACAGCTTTAATGCTTTTGATAACAAAATGATGTGTTTCCCAAATAAGCTGATTCTAAATTTGAATTCCTTCATTTTCCAGAAGATTGTATCTCTGTGATGGGCACTATTGCTGAAAGAATGTTTCTTTGCATGTGGCTGTTTAAATCCTGCTCAGCTGATAACCTGTAGATAATATAAAGCTTTCAAAGTGCTGGTCTTGTGCTCTTTCYTTCACTCTCTGCTCTTCCAAGGCACACACGAGTCTGTCCCTTTCTTCAACCACTTTCATCATCTCAGTAAAAATTTCATCCTCTTCATTCCGATCCAGCTCATCTTTAAGGCTGTCTAAAACGTCACCAAAAAAAGGTTAAAAACCAGATCACTGTTTGCATTTTAACTGTTAGTGCAGTTTGAATTAACATTATAGTCGATGGTAAATGTAGTCAATAGCAGAAAGCATTTTTAAAATTCCAGTTCWGTGAAATTTTCTCCTGGATTTTGGCCATTTGAATTGACCACTAGGGCTCATACTGTCTAGAGTAGATYTTTTAACAAAATTTAGTCTGGAAGGGGCAGGAAAAGCACTACTTATTTATACAAACAATTAAGCTGAGTATTATTAAACCAAGGAGAGAGACAGCAAAACACCTGTCTTTSAMACCAAGACAGCAGGTCAGCTCAGCTGCCTTCATAGGAGTCCTGTGAGCTCTCACATTTTGCAGGCTGAGCTGCRCTCCCAGGAGCACAGGTAATTTTGTGGCATTATTGTGAGCACAGGAGCTGCAGCCCCCTCACCTTTCTGCAGCAAACAGGGCTGGTATGATGTGGCCCTGGGGGTTGGAGCACACTGTCCCCTTTGACTCACCATCAATGGCCATTTTCTCTCTCAGCTTTTGTTCCAGCCTGCTTTGGTGGTCCTCCAGTTCTAGCTCTTGGGCTCTGGGCATAGCAAAATGTAAAGAAGAATTCTCAATGAAGACACATATTTAGGTTTTATTTACTTCTTGTGTTGGTGGATCTACTTGTATCATGGCTGTAGTGAATTTCTAGGTCTTGTTTCATTAATCCAATAAAACCAGATGAATTTGTCAGAATGTTTTTCTTCCCAGGACAGAGTGCCCCAGTGCTCACTAGACCCCCACGATGTGAAGGCAGAGTTCAAAGTATCATACAGAGCTGAAATACTTGAACCACTGCAGGAGGGGAGGATCAGGAGAGCTCAGCTGTGTTCCAAGCAGGTTGTAGCTACTCTGCATATGTTTATTCCACAAGTGCCTCAAAGTGCAGCACACAGCRAGGTGCTCAGATGTATTGTGCATTGTGAGTACATTTTTCCCTCTCCCCTCTCCATCTTTAATACCAATGCCTGTTGTTACTTACATAATCAGGAGCTCAGACTCATAACGCATTAATTTGTTCTTCTCCATGACCAGCTCAAACCATTCATGTAGCATCTGATTTTCATCCTTTGTGCCTGGATCTGTGTAAAATAGGAGACTTCAGTGTGCTTTACCAGCTTTCTYTCCAATGCTTTTGCCAGCTAAGTTCTCTGTTTTGTGAGCCATGTTGGCTTTTCCCTGTTGGCGTGTCCCTACAGCATTGCTAAAGTAAACCTTTCCTCCTGGTTTACCCAAGTTTCCTTTGACTGAGATCCTTTTGAAAGTCAGACATTCTCCTAATTMCATCATAGGTATTTCAGTTTTCATCACTTTTGAGGTAATTGCACAGKCTGCAGAGGAGTATTTACTGAACACTCTTCTCAAAACCTGACCCTTCTGTTCTACCCTGTCCCTCCTTACAATTGTCACACAGTAAACGGTCTTGGCTACTTTGCACCTTTTTTGGTACAATTAAACCTCATATTCCTTATTTCTGTGGGATCCCAACTGGTTTCTTTTGACTCTGTTGAAAATTCCAAGACACCTTGGATATGCTTTTTATGAAATCAAAAACTAGCTACAACATGTGCAGATATTTGTTCACCTTCCAAAGCATGGAGACATTTCTTAACATTCTCTCAGCATTCTCTAGGTTTTCTTCTTTACCATCATTGTTCATAATTTGTTTAGTCAACTGAGCCATTATGCTAATTTCAGTGCAAAACATGTTTTGAGATTTTTATTTCTGTATTTTCTTGTAGGCAGAAGCTCTCCATAAGCCTTCACAAATGTCAGTGGAAAACAAAGCAACGTGCAAATAATAAAGCACAAAACAGTAATTTATTATTGGGTATTTYGAAGCAGAATAAAGGAAATAATGAGCATGAAAAATTATTCATGGGACTGATATTATTTCTTTTTTTTGGGGGGGGGTAGTTTTGTTGTTTTTTTTTTAATGCATGAATTGTTGTCACTACAATTAGAAGATCATCAAAAGCTCATTTTGCTCATCAGTCTTCATGGCAGTTGTTTCGCACCCACGCATGTTCTCCTCTAATTCACTTGAGGAGCTAATGAATAACTCCCCTAACAAAGGGGCCATTCATCCCAGGCTCACAGAATTATTAGAGGAGAGTTGCGTAAATGTCACTGAAGACTGCTGTTTGCAGGCCTGCTCTAAATTTGGTTATTCACAACCTTTGCAGCTCAATATTATTGCTGAACTGTGATCGTTTTCTAATTACCTTAATAATACCTATTAAATCACTTGAATTGCATAAGCGCAGACCTGCTTAAATACAACTTAACCTAATAAACACTGGTCATTCATTAAACAATAATGCTCATTATTTTTAGGAAGGTTGAACAGAATATTAAACTCACCAATTCTTGCATCATTACAMATATGTTATTACGAGCAATGAAGCGCTCACATTTTATCTGGGAAAGTCAAAGCTTTGTGCTTTTGCACCAGAAGAGTTATTGAGAGACAGCAACATCCTACATTKCAGTATCTGCCCTATTTGTAACTGGCCACCTACACACAAACAATCAACAGGGAGAAAAAAATAGTACTTTCACCTTAATGAGGGCAATCCAATTACCAGGGATGGTAAGAGAATGAGAAGCATCGATCTCTTGGCAGACAGCCTTCTTTAGGAAATGCGATTGTCAAAACAACAAAAACAAGAGGTGGCTCTAGGCCATTTATCCTGCTATTCTGTGTCTATCCCAAGAGTCAGAAGCTTCTTGTCCCTCTCTCTTTTTGAGATTTCCAAAAACAAGCACCTTTATACAAACAGCAGAAAAAAGCTAACTCCAGATTCTCAGGGTCTTTTTAGCAGACTCTCTGCTACTTACAAGCAGTAATGTAGGTGCTRTTTGATAAAGGGTTATGATTTCATTTAAGAAAAATAGATGTTAGCCTTTGGAATAAAATTTGAAATAGAGTGACACTATCAATTCTAGGAAGTTAGTAAATATAAAAGTTCTCTTGCTGAACTGATCAGTGCAGCTCAGTGCGAGAGCTGCTATGAAATGTGGCATTAAAAAGGCCAGCACGTAGGGCTTGGACTGGATTGCCTGGTTAAGACAACAACGAGATTCAGATGCTAGAGCATATCTGGGTTTTCCATGTTGTGCAACTGCCTGTCATGAAACACACGGCTCAGTTTTCTGAAGTGGAGGTAAACAGAGACATTTGCATTCAGGCTGTCAGTCCCTTCACACAGGAGCACAGTCCCCTGTCTGGTGGGAGCCCCCAGTGTGGGTCCCTCGATTCACCCCACRAGTGCTGGGAGCAGGGACAGCACCCACAACCCTCAATGTTCAGGAGCATCAGCTCAGGGGAGGGAAAGCCCTGCTCTGGCTGGGCCAGGGTGACATCCCTGGTGCCATCTCCAGCCCACTGGGGAAAAGCTCTTGGGGTGCATGTGCCTGCATGCTGCTGTTGCTATAGCATGGCCATAATCATATTAATGGCATTTCACACCCAGGAAAGTCATTAAGGACTCTGTTACTAGGCACAGGCTGCTGCTGTCTTGGTAACTGAGATACTGAAATACTGAGCTACAGCTCCTGGAAACCTCTCTGGTTCCCTCCACAAGATGAAACTGCCTGATCTTTCACATTTGTTATGATAGGACTTATAGAAAAAAAACCAGAAAAGTCATAGCAATGTAAAGGTGTTTGAGCTAACAGAGACTTTGACAAAAAGGTTTATCAATCATTTTTGTCCTGCCAGTTATTGTTCTTTTTCAGGTTTTGCACCAAACTATTTCTATGACAACCATTCAAATCCTCTGCTTTGTGTACCTGCTTCTCCTCTTAGTTCTCTCTCCAGTTCGACACCAAAAATCTCCAGAGCTCTTTGTCTTTCCTCCAGTTCTTCCAGTTGGCGCTGGACTGCCTGCAAAAATGTAATGACATGAGAGCTACAGACATCATAGCTTCAAAATTCGGGGATAAAAGATGCCTCAGTAGTCAGAAAAACAGCTTGGAAAGGTGTCAGAGGAGCTGTGGCTCTTGCGACTCATTGAGTGTATGAGGCACAATGAGAGGGAGGGGAGCAGAGCCCACCAGGATCCCCCTCCTCACAAGTCACTCTGGGCAGACAAAGGGCACATCTGAGATTTCACCTGTGCTTTGTGAAGCCTCTTCAGCTCCTCTTGTTTAATCAGCTGCTTTGTCTCCTTCTCCAGCTTCCTTCTCTTTCTGAGAGCCCTTTTTGCCTACAAAAGACAGAGAGAGAAAGGAAGAAGCAATCAGAGCCTAAGTGTGGCATTGCAGCTTTCCTCCAACCTCACCCAGAATCACAGAGCCACTGAGGCTGGGACTGAGCTCTGCAGACTCTGACCCCATCCCCTGCCCAAAGCAGGGTGAGCCTGAGGCAACCCCACCAAAACAGAAACATTCATGTAGGAACATTTACATGCATTTGCTGGGCTGAATTTAAATCATCACAAGCTCTTAATGCACCTCTGAGCAGGAAATGTGTCACAAAAAGTGTCTGAATCCCAAAGCTGACTGCATTCAACATCCCACTGTACACAGCCATGCACAGCTGGGGAAAGCTCCAGTGTAAGGAAACTCAACCCATTTCTATTGCTACAGCTCTAAAGTAGTAAAATCCATATCCTAGGACACTGTGAAACCTTGCCCAATGCCATTTCYGTGCTGCACTGCAGAGGTTTTTGCTTTTCCCCAGCACTTGCTGCTGTCAGGAGATGAGCACAGCACACGCTGCAGGGCAGCTTTGGGCATCACCTGATCCAGAGCCACTGGTGACAAATGCAGCCASACATTGCTGTGATTTTGTTCCTCTGCTGGAGCTGGGTTTCCATTCAAAGTCTCCCTAGCTTTCAGCTGGAATGATTTTTCAGCRTTTTTCAGTACTTTGTTTTCCTTCCTCTTCCCCCCACCCCCAAAGGCAGCAAATCAAAAGGCCACCTCATACTATTAATTCCACTTACTGATATTCTGCACAGGAAAGAGATAAACACATTTCTGATGAGCTATTCAGACAAGAAAAGCTCTGTTTGCTCACGTCAGAGCTGGGCATGGAGAGTTCAGGGTGCAGTTGGCCCATTTTGGGGTACAGGGCCTGACTGGGACTTTGTGGCTCACACACTTGTGCTGATCAGGATAAACAGAATGTTTTCCAAGCAACCTGCCTGCAGCACTTCTCAAACAAATCTGCATTCTCCCAAAGGAAATCTGCATCTGTTTGGTTTAATTTTTTCAATAGTTTGCTTGTTGGGCTACGTATTAAGGGCACTTAAGAATGCAGCTTCAAAGTGGTTTCAGTGAAACATGTTTGTCAAATTAARACTGCCTCTGTCAGCCATGGTGTAACCTGGGGGAATTACAGATCCAAAGAGGTAAAAGAAATGTTGATGTTCATCTGTCTTTAATATGCTTAATGTATTTTCTCTCCGTGACATGTAACTTACAGTCCCCACTGTGAGAAATTGCTGCGTGTTTTAGATCAAAATCATAGGATGGATTTTAAATGCAGCCCAACTGAGGAAATACCTTTCTGTTTCTAAGTCAAGATTACCTGGTGCATTAATGAAAGCTTGGATTCAAATTCCTCGTCAGAGGATGAAGTAGAATACTCAGCAGCTTGTTTTCTGACAGGTAGGCATTCGAATCCTAAAATGCAAGAACAAAAYGGTCAGTGAAGCAAAAAATACTGTTCTTTAACTGAAACAGACACTTTGCACCTGCCCCGAGTTCTAATCAGCAATGCCTAGAGCAATATGGAAATTCAGCTGACAGCACTAATTAAATTTTTCATCCCTGTCAAAAACTGTCTGGCTATATATTTTAATTTTTTCTGGGTACTACAAACAAATAAATTAATTCCTTGAGYACCATGCGTGTAGCACGCTGTTCTGAATGCACACAACATTCATTAAAATGTATATCTGAAGTTAGCCATATTRCCCAAATGATTGTATAAGCTCACTATAGAGTGTAATTGAATGCACAAAGTCTGAGCCAACTCTTAAACAAATTACCCTTATGTGGCTTGTAGCAACTGGCACCCATTTTTACTACATGACATCTGCTCAGTGTAAAATAGTTGGCGTCAGAATGTCTGGTCATATAAAAAAATCACAAATGTAATCAGAAGCAAATGGGCTAAGAGAACAGGGCTTTATCACACAGCCTTGTGCAACATAAATATTTCATTAATTATGTCTAAACAAACGTCACTTSTATTTCTGCTTTAGGAATATTATCACATCATTGGGCTGTTGATTAAAATGCCATAAGAAGTCAGGAAAATCCATACATCACAACAATACACTCCATAAGGAAAACTCAAAGGCTGCCTTTGGAAGAAGCGTGCTTTCAGAATTATAAATTAAATTACATTTAATTGCAGCAATTTTATCATGCCTGTTTTTCCAGCATCTTGTTTCAACTGGGTGTAAACATTTGAATTTCTTCTTAATTTGTCTAATGCATAGCTTCATTCTCTTTATTTCAGAAAATAAAAACCGCCTTTGGAACATCTGTCCCTGTGCTTCAACCTGCTGCAGGGTTAATGATTAACAGCTGGCCATCTTGCAAGTGTACATTATTTAAAGCTAACAGGATTCCTTTTTCTTTGGATCTASGAGGTAACAGTTGGCTTTCTAGGTGCAAGCTGTATTCAGATTAAAATCTCCTCCCATCCTCCCAGTGTAAATGTTCCTTCTTTGCCTTGTTCTGGGTCCCAGTGCTGACACAGGACTTTTGCCTCCAGCCCTAAGTTAAACTCAGATCCATGAACCTGAGCCTATGCTCGGGTTACTCACATTGCTCTTGGTTGATATCAATATTTCTGGGACTCGCATGTAATTTTAATACAAACCTTGCTCTTGCAAGCAARCATGAGAATTGATGGCTTTTAATCACTGCTCAGATAGACTCACAAATAGGTCACAGTAGGTCAATAAGGTGCTCTCTCCTCTCAAATTAAAGAACAAGGGAATATTAACAACACTGCAAAGCTACCAAAAGTATGGCCACAACTCTGCCAGCAGAGCTGAAGAGACACCTGCTGAGGAAGCACAAACACAGGGCAAAGCTTCTGCTGTYACAAACATTCTGCTTTGATCTCTGGGCTCCTCACGGGAAGAAAAACAAATGCTCTCTGTGCTCTACTGGAATTCTCAGTACAGACTTCTGCCTGCCTGCTGCAGATCCCCTTGCACAACTCAGTGTTACTCCAGAAACTGCTCTGCCAGATCCCAGCCTGTCCTGCCATGCCCTCCACCTCCTGAGKACATTCTCCTGACATAAACACATCCAACAGCAGCGAGCAGCAAACCAAACCTGGGTCCASATCCACCCCACCCCTTTACACCTGTAGCAACTCCTAAACTTTAGCCAAAAAAAATGTATTTATTAATTTTTCCTGTGTAAAAGAAACTAGAAATTCAACATAATGCACAAGAAATGTGCACGTGCATGATCACCACTGGTCTTTGAAAGGTTAAACAAAGTGCTGTTACACAGTACTAATAGTAATAATAATAATAATAATAATAATAATAATAATGACAACATAATTCCACTCAGGTCCTCACCTGTGAAAGGATAGAACAACCTCTCTGCAGTCTGCTCTCTCCTGACAGGCAGAGATGACACCAAGGAGTTCCCTTCTCTTTCATGAGCTGTCCTTGTCACCCTATTGCAGAACAATCCCTTTTGAGCAGAGCTGTCCAGATTGTCCTTGAGGGCATTCTGGGGCTCTGGAGATGAAGGAAGAATTGACTTTTCCTTACAGATGCACGTGTCATCCATGGGAGCCCCTGTCTTCAAAGGMAAACTATCTTCAAAGGTAAACCTTTCCAGGAGTCCTGGCACCTCCTCCATCCTGGTGCCAGCTGATTCCTGAGATTTGGGGCTTTGCTTGGAAGGCCAGGAGGAGTGAGCACTGTAGGGTGGTAAGGAATAATCCCTTAGAGATATCTCTTCAGAGCCACTGGAAGAGTGAGAGAGATTTGAGTAAGGGCTCCCATCTCCTAAATATTTCTCTGCCCACTCTGTTCCTTCAGGATCCTGTGACTGGGTGTTATTGTTGTTGCTGTTCCTTTGGCTTAGGGAATACCCAGGAGTGCTGGGGAAGCTGAAGAAAACCTGTTCAGAAGAAGCTCTGACTTTGCTCTCGGAGTCCTGCTTTAATCCTTCTGGAGCTGAGGTCAGAGGCTCCAGAATGGACCTTTTGATGGCATYAGCCAAGAGCCTCAGTGGGGATTTGGGCTGGCCCGTTGCATGCTCCCTGCACACCACATCTGGAATCCTCAGAGCATCTTTTCTGTCAGCTGGCACAGCTGGAGCATCACCTGCAAGTAAGGGRGACACAGGACAGCCAGATGCTTTGAACACTTCTTCTTTTTTCCAGCCAGGGCCCCTCTTCTCCTGAGTGCCCAGGGCTCCATCATTTCCACACCCCAGACTGGTCCCACCGGGGTCTGTCCTCTTGGAGCCATACAAAGGTTGCTTTTGAGTACAAAGCCCCAGCCTCTTTATTTCTTGCTCAAGCTTTTCTTCTGGGTGCCTGGTATTTTTGCCATCTTTCTCTTTCAAACCCAGAGATGACAGCACTTTTGTTTTCCTAGTAAAATCCTCTGCTTCAGAGGTATTTCTCCGTGTTTTTTCCTTCCAGTCCCGGGCTGAGTATGTCCCAATGTCACTGTCTGTGTCTTCAGGCTCATAAAAATCAGCAGCCACTGTCCCACTGCCAAGAGGGCTCTGTGGAGAACTTGTGCTGCTCTGATAAGGACAGTGGGGAACATTGGGATGTGCATCTTCMAGCATCTCCCTGGCGTTTTCTTTTCTTTGAAATACTGGGCTGCACGGTTTGAAATRTCCTCTTCTAATTTCTTGTGGCTTCTTGTAAGAAGCCAACTGTGAAATGCATGGAAAAAAAAGACTATTTTAGGGATATAAAAATRCTGCTTTGTGTAGCTTCTATTTCATCAAATATTTTAATCTGTTTTAATCTTAACATAGTAGTAATGAACATAATATTTAATTTATACACAAACACACATGTAGATGATTATATAAGAAAAGATTTTCTCCCTAAAGACTAATATTTCTCTAGGAGTGGAGATCTAATACTACTGGAAATTTTAATAGTCTAAAAATAATGTTATTCATGCTAAGAAACTGTCATATCTTTATGAATTACCTTTAATATTTTCCTTAGAAAGAAACAGTCCTATCTCCAGGAAAATAGACAAGAGCAGATCTGCTCTGTTCTCCTGTGTGTTCCAGCTGCATCACCTTAGAGTTCTGAGCAAGCACAAGRGACCATTATCCATCCACTCYRAGTGTTTTTRTAATRTTGCATGTTTATGTAATGCAAGTAGGAATGAAAGAAGTGACCCTGAAAACATTATAAGATGGTAGTTTTAAACAATTCAATTAGTTCCCTTTCATGATTATTTTTCCATTGGTAAAGGTTTAAATTCATTACTCCAGCCACTAAAATCTTCTGCTGAAGACAGTAACAAGGATAAAYACCCACATTATGTACCCAGCAGACAAAAACTAGAGATCTTTCTTCCTTCTTAAAAGGGAGGCATTTTATCATCAGTGCTATGTGGTAATGGATGGTGTGAAGATGGAAATCCTGCTCCCATTTATGTGCCAGATACCCAAACTCACATGGGTGAAGCCATTAATGTGTCTGACTTTTCATTTCCCAGAAGCACCAGAAGTAAGGCAATAATGACTCCCCTCCATTTCACACTCCTATTTGATGACTAAAATTATTGGCCAGGATCTCAGACAGAAAAATGTAAGAAACACAATAAACAAACAAACAGTTAGTCCTCCATTTTCAGAGAAAGGCCACTGAGCAGTGCCTGCAGAGCAGGAGCTGCATGGATTCACCTCTTCATGCCAGCTTTGTGCAGTTCTGCTCCCCTGGGACAGTCCCTTCCTGGCCCCATCTCCTGAACCACATTTCATCCTCCATGCTGGATGGGAAGAGTGGATTTTTTTCTAGCACAAGCCCTGAGATCAAGCAATTCTATTCATATTGAACTCAAAGGTGAGGATAAGTGTCCATGGCATGGAGGATGTGGGCAGGTCCTGGTTCCAGCTGCTCCAGGATGTGCTGCCCTTTGCTCAGGATGGTCCCACTGCAGAGCTGCACTCAGGGCAGGCCCACCCTTCATCCTCCCTAAAAACCCTCAAAATTAAAAATAAAACCAACCAAAAACACCATAGAAATCAGAGGTCCTGAAGCATGCAGAAGATGCCYCTGAGAAGTGGGAGATGTGAAGCCCTTTTCCAGCCTAAACTATTCCATGATTTTATGACTGATGAACATGATTACATCAAATGATTACATCAAATCAAAGGCTCTTCCCTATGTACAGCACAAAGATAACTCCAACCCCGTGGTCCCTGTGAGGGCCAAAAGCACTGAAAGGAGCAGACAGAGCCTGCTGAGAGCAGACATGCTCCAATCATTGTGCCCTGCACAGTCTCCTCCGTACCTGTGTTTGGGAATGCTCCTCTCCAGGATGGCTCTGGCAGCTGCCTGAGCTCTCCTTTAGCCCAGGTTTCTTGATGGACAGCAGAGGAAAGCCTGCCAAAGACACACATTTTACCTTCCCATTGGTATTGATTTTGTCTTAAATGAAGTCTGCAGGTAAAGAACAAGAGTAGAAAATAAAACAGCCCCCTGGATAGAGTTAAAGTTGAAGAGCTGACCTACAACACTGGAGTTTGTGGCCTCACTCACATGGATGTGCATCCTGTGCCAAACATATGTTGATATTTTCAGCAGAGGACCTGAACTGCTTCCATTTTTTGGCTGGATGTAGTGAAGCAGTGTTTGAATTCCAGGAAACTTTCTGGAAAAGCAGCCCTCTTCAGAGGCAGTCAAAACAACCTGTGACTTCTGAACTTTGAGTAATTCCAAGAAATGAAGAAAATTGATGACTTCTGAGAGGGCTGTCTGTCAGAATGGGAAATACATGGGGAATGCATCCACCTGCAGGCAGTAAGGACAGAAAAAATCCTGCAATCTCCCAAGCCAGGACAACAGGCAACATGTTGGGGACTCTCCTAGGGTCAGGCCAGGTCATTAATTGATAAAGGAGGCAACTTGCACCTGAAGGGAACCAGGAGAACTTTCCAATATTTGTGCCTGTGGGAATTCTACATAATAAATAATCTTTGGACAACCAAAAGTATCCCTGAGCCAAGATATTATCATATCCAGCTATATATCATCATGTCCAGCTATAACAAGACAAGCATATTTACAGCTCARTTATTAGTTCTGAAATCCATTCAGGTTCCCAAAGCAAACTTGGGTTCTTCTACACAAGGATTAAAAACTGCCTAAGGACAGAGCAACACTCCAGAGAGAGAGGGGGCAGTTCCTGCAGTGATTTCAGCAAAGGCAAGCCAGGGAGAGAGGCTGAGCTCCCTTTCCTCTCAGTTTGTACTCTCTCAGTTTGTACTGAGCTCCCTTTCCTCTCAGTTTGTACTCTCTCAGTTTGTACTGAGCTCCCTTTCCTGTCAGTGTCCCTCCTGTTTGTACCCAATTGATGCAAATCTGCTCTGCTGGATCGAGACAGGAGTGACACACTGTGCTAAGGAGCCCTGCAGGGATGGCACCCAGGGCCTGCCCTTTGTGTTCTGTAAAGTGAATTGAGCCACGGGAAAACACAGGAACCCACAATTAGGATAAAAAAGCCACCACCAGCACGTGCCTAAGTGAGCCAGGGGGGTTCAGCCTGACCCACTRAAGCCCTGAGCTGAGAACATCACTCCACACGAAGCCACAGCTTCCCCTGTGTCACAGGGAACACGGCTTCATTCCCACCGAGATGCTGAACCTCTATTTTCAGCCTCACTTTCAAAACAGGATTTAAAGGAAAAAAAGAAAAGTTCCCTAGGGCACTATCATGATCTGCTTGGCCCAAAATCCCAAGATAAATTAAGAGCATGGCATTCCCTGTGGCKGTGCAATGGGGATTAAAGGTTTGGAAAGGTAATATCCTGCTCTGAGCCTTTCAGCCAATACAGCCCTGACACTGATTTCCTCTCCTTGGCTGCCTACCCCTGCTGTTTATGAAACATATGTGTTTGGGGAAATGTGTCTGAAAAGGAGACAGATTTTTTTTTTTTTCATGTGACTGATGATCATAAGAATTCCTGTAATCAAATTGGATTAAATATAGAAACTATGACTTACAGTGTTCCTCCAGAGAGTAAAAAAAAGCCTTTATTCTGTTCCCAGTGTACACTGAGTGTGCTTTACACCTCATTTTAACAGCATACTTGAGGCTCAGGCAGACTTGTGGAGCACATTGCTTCCCTCTGAAAGGCTTTTAGCTCCCTCTAGAGCCCCTGAGGAACACGGGAGATTTTAACAAAATGATGGGAAATATAACTGGCAAACCACTGAGCAATGTCCTTGCTGAGAACAAGCTGATTATCAATGGAAATGAAGAGGGACACCCTCTTCAGTCTTCTCTGCTTTCCTGTCTTACTTGCCTTGCACTCAAATCTGGATCAAGCATTATTATTGATGTATCTTTTAAAAACTGAGGCCAATGAAGGCAAGATTTCTAAATTCCAGCCTTTGGTGGGGCCAAACTCTGATGTCTGTGCTAATTCCCAAACACTTCAGAGCGCTCAAGAGGCAGAGCCAAGGTGACACAGATGCCATGAGCCAGGGCTAAGGTGACACAGATGCCATGAGGCAGAGCCAAGGTGACACAGAGGTGACACAGATGCCATGAGCCAGAGCTTTGAGGGGCTCTGGGATGCTGCTCAGCTCACTCAGCCAGTCCTCAGGAGAATGGGGAAGGTGTTTGTGTGCTGAGAGCTGTGCCAGGGGGAGCCCAGCTCCACAGCCGGGGTGAATCCAAGGATGGGTGCCCTGTTTGTTGAATCCAAGGATGGATGTGCTGTTTGGGGAGCCCCACAGCCAGGGTGAATCCAAGGGTGGATGTGCTGTTTGGGCAGCCCAGCTCCAGCCCAGCAGAAAGGTTACCTCAGGGGTAACCACACTCTGCTTCAGAAGGGAACAGAGCACAGATCCAATCTCTGTCACAATCACTGCCTTCCTGKGTGATTTCCACAGCAGAAACAGGTCAGCCCAAACCCAGGGAAAGCYCCAGAGGACACGGATCACTAACACTTATTTTCACCAGCTCARATCTTGGGATTGGCTTTCTCCCTTTCACTAACCCAGAACTATCACTTGGAGGTTTTTCCCAACAAGAGAGAGGTGACAGAGCCCCTGTGGAAGGCTCTCAATAGACACCTCCAGGAACATTTCTAACAATGACACCATGTTCAGTGTCCCATCTGATCAGCAGCAATCACTGCAGGCAAGGCTAGAGACAAACTGTACAGCTCTGGGATGGGAATGCMTGCTCTCATCTGGAGAACTAAAGTGAACACCACTTTGTGATGGGTATAGTTACACAGAGTGCAGTCACACTGAGAGGAATTTGATCTTTTGAGGGCAAAAAACTGGAAAAGAAATATTAGGTGTGTTTCTATCTCTGTTTTCTCATTTAATGACTTAAAAATACAAAGATTCTAAAGGAAAGGAGAGGAAGCAGACAATTAAAAGAGAGGAKAACAGAATGAATAGAAGATACAATCACATCTTGGTCTCTACTCACTCGTTTGGATTTTTCTCCTCCAATTCTGATATTTATTTAATGCCGTGGACTGGAAACTGTTGGCTCTTTGGAGTGCTGAGCAGAAACAGAAGGGACATGGGGTCAGTTAATGCAGCAAAAGGCAGTGGGTGAGAATGGAGATGGGGAATAAGGAGAAGTGGAGGAGCAAAACCCCAAAGGCGTGGTGGGGGTTCATTTTCCAGGCAGCTGCAGCCGGGAGAGGGAACTGAGCACCACCACGGGATAACGGGAACAGCTCCCCAGGARCCAGGGAACCCCAACCCCAAACCCACTGAGATGGTGCTGGCAGCAGCAAAGTGACCTTGGCAGGCAGGGCTGGGGGACAGCACAGCCTGACCCGCTGCAGGGAACAGCTCCACTTTGAAATGTGTCCCCTCAGGAGAGGCTGCTGGAGCTCCCCCAGCTCACCCASTGCTCACCATCAGCCACTTTGGATGTTCTGGAGCTGTCCTCGGGCAGCCCAGGGCTCCTGCTGAGCGCTGCCCATCTCGGGATGGGGCTGGAACGGGCAGGGGGCTCCGGCAGCGGGGTCTGCCCTTCGCTCACCTCCCAGTGCCACGAGTCACCCTGGACATCAGACTCCAGCTCMGAGCTGCAGGGAAAAGGGCGAGATGGGACAGAAGGGGGATGTTTCAGGGGCTGCAACAAGCACTGGCACCAGCACTGACAGCACTGTGGGTGTTTCAGAGGAATAGGTGTTTGCAGCCAGAGCTGCTGTCCTCATTTTCCTTCTTCCATCACTGTTATCACAGGAGTGTAATTTTCTGTGAGTGCTACACAGCTGAGCCATCCCCATTCCCATCAGACTCTGGATTTGCACCCACAACCACTACACCTGGAATCTGAGTGCCTCTGAGAGAGGGTGGGGGTGAAATTCTTCACTGCTCACTTAGCAAGGCCAGGCTCTTCTGTCTGCAAAGCTGAACACCAGGATGAATGAAGGGAAACAGCGTTTGCAATGCTGCAATTCACCTGGAAACAAGGCATGAGGGTCAAAACTCAATGCTTTTCACCTCTTTCCTRCAGATTTTTGAAAATAAGAGGAGAAAGGAACCCAGAGGAGAGGCATGAGGACAGCYATGGGCCCAGCAAACAAGGCTTAGTCAAGAAGCTGGAGAAAACTGTAAGCATTAGTTGAGAGAGAGAGAATTGAAGCTACCTAAGCAGCCCTCAAATGTGCAAAAAGTGTCTGCAGGAAATAAGGAAACAAACTCTCCTCATTCCTGAGACAGCCATGGCACAGCCCATGGAGCACTGAGCAGTGCAGAGGCACCTGAGCTGATCACAGAGGCAGATTGTGGCATCCTCTTGTGTAAATGTGATTAAAAACACACCACACAAACACATGTGTGGATGACATGCACATMATGACCTTGCCTGAGGGCAGAACAACTGTTTGAGGTGATTATTATCCCTTTTTCTAATAATCAGGCCATTTCTTTCATCTGTCAAGCACAGACTGGAGGGAACAGACACCGTCAGCCCTTCTGATGTGACCACATTCTCATGARTGAGTACAGCATCATCCCACTCAGCCTCTCTTTAATGCAAACAATACTGCTAACCTAATTCTTGGATCTACTGTGATGAGTAATAGCTAGGCCTCAAAAAAGAGGAGTTCACACCATGAGCAGTTGTTCTGGCATAGCAGGAGAACGCTGCTTCGTGTTYATGCAGCAGAAAGCAACATTTTGTTGTGACAGCCCAGGGTACAGCTCAGGAGGAAGAAGAGGTAAAGGAGAAGCTGCAGACCACATAAAAACACACATTTGGGCAGAATCCACCAGTCCTGAGCCCTGGCAGTGCTGGGAGGCCAGGCCAGGAAAGACAGCAGGGGTGGGAGCTCCTATCCAGGTGTGCTGCTCTCTCAGCAGGCAGAATCAGAGCCACCTTCAATTTCATGCTAAAACACACTTTTTAAGCTGACTTTCAACCAGTGTCAGCCATACAGATATATGTATGTAAAAATATAAATATATGAAGGCTGGATAGCTGAGACCCTGTGTGGATGGAGAGACASCACACTGAGCTTGGGCAGAGCGCCACACCAAAGGAAAAGAAAAAGCCCTGCCATTAACACTGATTGATATMTTTCTGTTTTAAAGAGCAAAACGTGTATTTTCCTTGGCCAGCAAGGAGGTAAGCACTATAGCACGAGGTTTCTCCTCTCATCTCTGCTGGAACAGGGCTCATTACTCACAGCACCCAAAGCCCAAACTGCAAAGCTGTGTCACTGTTGTCCCGGTGCCACCGAGCTCCCTGCAGCCAGCCCAGCAGTGCCATTTGTCACTTGTTCTCTTTCCCTCGTCCCCCTTTTTAGGCAGCAGCCCAAGGCAGGGGCGCAGCAGGAGCTGACTTTGGAGCTGCTGGCACCCCTGAGCTGGTGACAGATGTGCTGTCACCCCTGTGCCACGTCCTGCTGGCAGGGAACCAGGGGCTCTCTGTCCAGCCTCAGGGGAAGGAGCTGATCCCCAGATCAGAGGGATCAGCCCGCTCTGATCGCTCCTGGACACCACCATGAGCTGCAGGGTATTAGTGAGGGATGGAAGCTCTGAAGAGGAGCTGGAGACAGCAGCTGGGAAACCCTGCCCTGTGCTCTCCATTTCCCCCTGGGGCAGGAGCCCTGGAGAGGCTCATCCTTTCCTCTAAGAGTGCCCAGACCAATGCACAAACCCATTTCAAAACACCTCAGGGAATAGCAGAAGTTGTGTTTCTCAGAGCCAAGTTGCTCTCCAAAAGCTACACACAGCACCACAAACAGGTGTTTAGAGGGTGTCAGGAATCKGAATCAGCTTCCCTATAGAGCAGCAACAGTTGGTCTTGGTTTTGCCTTTCTTTCTTTTTGTTTTTCACTCCCCCTCTCATTTTTTAGTTCTCGGTAAGGAAAACTGCTTTACTCAGGGGATACCAAGCTAATCTTCAGATGGAACTAGCTGCCACAGAATCCTGCCCAAAAGCAAATATATTCTAATGTGAACAGCAATTGGGCTTCCTCTGACAGCTCCCCAAAGTGCATCAAATTTCAGATTTCTTCGGGGTGGGCAGGGTCTCCAATGCCCCAGGAGAGGCTCAGGATTGGTGCTGCAGGGTGTGGTGCTGCAGGATGCTGCCCAAGGTGTGAGATGGCCACCAAGGATGCACCTTTGGCCACAACACACCCACTGCCCAAATCCCCGTGCACCAAAAACTCTCCGTTCCAAGAACTGACCCCAAGCTGATCACAGCAATGTTTTTCCCTCTGATTCAGGCCCCTGTGTGGGATGTGAATGTTTGAAGRTTTCCTGCAAAGTGATTCATGTGCCTGGGGGAATTTATGGCTGTGGTTAAGAACAATTGTTATTCTGAGCATCTGTGGAAGTTTCTTTGGTTCTTTTCTTCCCCCCTCCCCAGTTGTACATACATCCAGTGCTATATTTTGCTATGATTTTCTTTAGTGTTCCAGAGAAAACCAAACTGCTCTTACAGCTAACGTGCATGTGAGAGTACCTGCTGGTATCGCTGGTGACCATGACTCGCACAGCGAGGAGGTTGTGCTCAGCCATCTCCTCCTCGGGGATGACCCTCACGATGGCCCACTCTGGGGACGGGGGTGAGCCCCAGCTCTCCAGCTCGGAGTGTTCAGGGATGCTCTTGGCCTTCTTGGGGGAACTGGGCTCATCGGGCAGGGGCAGGCAGCGGCCTGGGGAGCACAAAGGTGACAGAGGGTGTCAGGGGAGGAGGGTGGCGAGGGGACATCACCCCTGCATTAGAGTGCTCCTTGGCTGGTGTTTCTGTGCTGTCCTCAGAGGTGCAGGCGAGGTGAGCACGGACAGCCTGGCACGGCAAAAACATCCCTCCAGCCC